TCATTAAGCTCGTCTCCTTCTGCATTGGGATGAGTCCTCACGAAAAAAAATAAAACAAATCCAAGTTCTTGGATGATGAAATGGAAAATTTGAAGGTTGGTCGGAATCAAATGACGTTGCCAATTTTATCGGGAAAAGAACTTTTTAAGCGACATAAAACAGCACATCGCCCTTGCTTTTCCGAAGAGCGATGACACCTCATTCCAAGGGCATTTTGTAACTGACTCTGACCAGTTTGCTGTGGAATTGAATGTCTTTGGGTTCGCAATTTGTATGAACTTTTAGCTGAAAAGGAGCTTTTTTAAAAATCTTCTCTAGTATGATAAAATTAGAACTTTGAAAACCTCTTAAGTACAGATTGGTATTACTATTAACTCTCCTGTTTTCAACTTGTTCATTTTTCAGATTCATCATGTCAGTTTTGACACCAGCAAGCTTCAAAAGAGTCAAAATGCGAAACAGGCCACAGCTTTTTCTGCTAACATAATAGTAAAAGTTTCAAGATTGGCAATTATCCCTTATCAAGGCATTACAGGTAAAAGGGCATCCTTGTTTTCTAATTCATTGAATTTATTAGTGATCATGTTTAATTTTTCTGTTATTACATTTTGTTTCTAAGGTGAGGTATTCTGATCAGTATACCTTGAATCACTGCTTAAAATGAATCAATTTACGAGGAAATTTTCGAGAAATTGACTTTTTTCCATGATTGTGTTACAAACTCTTCGCTAACGTTTCATCTTTTATGATTAATGCAAATGTATGGATTTCGTTGTGACTTTGACTGAATATTCTTTATGATTATGTAATTCTGAAAACATGAAATTTTAGAAAATTCTCTAAAACGTTTCCTCCTTAAAGGATAAATTAGCTCTGGTGATTATGAAACACCGCAACCAAGAAATGCCATTTCTGTGCCCAACTCCTCAATTAATTAAAGAATGACACAAAAACAAATATTCACTGAAAAAAGTCGCTTGGATCTAGAGTCTAGACTCTTAAAAACATTGTCAAGAAAAAATATTCTTGATTCAATCGCATTCTTGCTTGAATCAAAATAAAATCCGCTTAAATTAAGCGGCTTGGCTCTTGATTTAAGCAAAAATCCGATTGAATCGAGAGTGTTTTTTCTTATCAATGTTTTTCATGCCGCGACTTCACACGCTGCAAACGTGAGCTGAAAATGGAGGCCACCGATGGGCCCGATGGGTGGTGCCCTGAATAGTGGACCACAACGCAATGTTCAGCGATCGATGAAATCGGGGCTGATCAGCCACCATTTCACTTCTGTTCATAATATGGCGGCCTGAGTCTTATTGTTCGTATAAAGTTGTAAATGTGTAAAAATTCGTAATATTTTTTGTGTAAAGTGAACAATAGCTAAAAATGGAATTCGAGGATCCACATCAGTGGCGTGGCGTGCTTTGCGATATATCGATTGTTATGCCATTTAAACCTATGGAAAAGGATCGACAAAGAGGGTGTCCGCAGCGAACATCTTAATAATCGATTATTTACCATAGGTTTAAATGGCATACCAATCGACACATCACAATTCACGCCACGCCACTGATCCTCGTTCAACAGCGACACCAATGACCCAATTTCAGAACTCCATTTTCAGCGTGTGAAGCTCGATTTAAGAGTCTCGACTCCACATCCAAGCGACATGTTTCCCGGTATTTGCGCGCTAAGGGATGATTACGGGACACCTTGTAAAATCCCGACGCAACCCTTGTCGCGTGGCGCATCGAAGAGAGCGAACCGGTAACCGTAGTAACAATTGCCTTTTGTCAACAGGTGAACAATGGCAGGCTCCCGCGTGGAAGGGGTGGAAGGGGTAGACACCGCTTCCTCAGGCTCGCGGGGTAGGGGGCGGGGGCGCGAAGCCGAGGATGACCAGGAGGTGACAACCGTCGACCCGGAGTCCAAACGCCACGAGACCTCAGAGTGGTCACCGAACGCTCCTCAAGAGCTGTCCAACAGACTGTTCCTCGACCTGGATCAAGGATACCTCATCGCGCCGGAAAACGCGTCAGTGTCGGATAGTAGTGGTGCGGATAAGAGTGTAGTAGTGTGCGGTTGGGCGTCGCCGAACGACGTCGCGAAGCTGTGCGGAGTGCATATGGAGCAGGAGCCCAAGATGACGGTGGATTTTAAGAGTTCCGTCGAGTTCAAGCCCGCGGTGGAGTTCAAGCCCACGATGGAGTTCAAGAGTGTAGCCCAGGAGTTCAACTTCGAGGAGTACGTGAGGTATAGTCCGTACAGGTGCTCGCCGGTCGACATGCCGCCCCTGAGGCAGTTGCAGGCCCTGCCGCCCGTTCAGGTGTCCCAGAAGCGCCCCGCTGAGGAGCCCCTCGAGTTCGAGATCCCGAGTTTCAACAGCCAGGACGGATTTCGGGAGGACAGCCTCGCGTCGCTCGAGGACGCTAAGCCAGCCAGGAGCTCCACTGAAAATACATCAGGTGAGAAAATTGACCTATTTGACTCCTCGCTGAGGAAAAACGTCATATCGTCGCTCCTCTAAAGTGAGGGCGTATCTCTGTTCCTGAATGAGCCTTACAAAGTATGGAGTTTTACGGAGCATACTGCCGTGCTAAGGAAAACCGCCGTATGAACCTTCAGGCGTTGCCAAATTTCCTTTGATAAAACGCGACTTTCCCGATAAAATTATGAAAATTTTTCTTCCAATTTTTCGGATAATTTTTTCCACAAACTCACCCAAAGTTCCTAAAAATTTCAGTCAAAAATGTTGATAAATTTCCTCAAAAATAAACTTCCTCGTGATGGAAATTTGGCAACTCTCGAATGTTCATACGACGTTTTTCCTTAGCTTGGCAGCATAGAGGTCACGTGGAAATCGAGATACGCCCGAACGTCAGAGGAGCGCCGATATGAGGGACTTGGAGGACAAGGCGCGTAAGTGCAATTTTTGAAAAAATTGAGATGTTGATGATTTCAAGTAAAACTAGTCTGAATGCATACCCTGCGAAAAATTCGCTTCCAAATTCCAATTTTTAAGCATCAAAAGTCAGTTTGAACTTTCTTTCCGCAATAAGGATCCATGTTATTTCGGACGTTAAACGAGTTTTCTCGAAATAGCAAAAGCTGCACTGATGCGCCTTGTCTTCCAAGCCCATCATATGAACATTCGACGGTTGCCAAATTTCCTCGGATAAAACATTTATTTTTGACGGAAGTTATGCATAACTTTATTCGTCATTTTTTTAGATGACTTCCGGGCTGAGGAAAAACGCCATATGAGGGGCTTGGAGGACAAGGCGCGTAAGTGCAACTTTTGAAAAAATTGAGACGTTGATGATTTCAAGTAAAACTAGTCTGAATGCATACTTTGCCAAAAATTCGATTCAAAATTCCAATTTTTAAGCACCAAAAAGTCAGTTTGAACTTTCTTTCCGCCATAAAGATCCACGTAATTTCGAAACTTCAAACGAGTTTTCTCAAAATAGCAAAAGCTGCACTGATGCGCCTTGTCTTCCAAGCCCCTCATATAAACCATCGTCGGTTGCCAAATTTCCTCGCATTTATTTTTGACGAAAGTTATGCGTAACTTTCTTTGTCATTTCAGATATTTCAGTAAGAAATTATCCTCGTCCTGGCGTGTAGAGAAAATAGCCAAATGAGCTTTTGGACGTTGCCACACTACTTTTGCCACGGGATGAATATATAAAAGTTGGGAACTTTGTCTCTTTAACTTTACTATGTATAATTTGTCGTTTAATTCAGCATGTCTGCAGACTACAAGGTGAAATATTGATAGTTTTTCTCAGAATAATTAATAAGTGTAATCTGAGAAATGTTGCCACTTTCAAAAGATCATACGGCGGCGTCTTGCCTTAACACGCCAGAAAGGCTTCACATTATACAAGCACTTGCGCACTTAAGGTGCATTTGTACGCCAATATTGATTGTCACTTATGCCCACATTTTTTTTTTCAAAATATTCGATTAGTCTCGTTTTTATGCATTCATTATATTTTGGTTGGAAAATGAATCCTCAGGACTATGCGCATCTTTTTGCTTTAATAAAAATTAAAGCTGGAAAGCTTTTGGAATGAACTGCGTTTTTTTCCAACATTTGAGGTTTAATACAATTCAACCGATTGTTTCCAAACTATAGCAGGAAAAGTATAAAATGAAGGTGATTCGATGGACGGCATATTTTGTGTCAGAACGGCATGCGATATATCGCATCAATTGGTAATTGGTTCCATTTCTTCAGCTATTCGTCATTTTTCTCCAATTTTGAGATCGCAATTCTGTTGTCAAGAGACTGAAGCACTCACTTACCAATTTTAACAAAGAAATCCAACGTAATAAAGGCGTGGTTTTTTTTAGAGAGAAAATATCGCATTCGAGTGCAGTTTCGATATCAGTACCGAATGCGACGTTTTCTCTCTTAAAAAACCACGCCTTCATTACGTTGAATTTCTTTGTTAAAGTTGGTAAGTGAGTGTTTTAGTCTCCTGACAACAGAATTGCGATCTCAAAATTGGAGGAAAATGACGAGTAGCTGAAAAAATGGAACCAATTGATGCGATGTATCGCATGCCGTTTTGACACAAAATATGGCGTCCATCGAATCACCTTAAAAACATGATCTGAACGTCATTATACTAGACGGAACTATGTACATAAATTAAATAAAAAATAACTATATCCATAGGATTTGCGTACATCATAAATCCTTGTCACTTCATTCATTTGCAAATAATTTTTCACAACTAAAATACATCCAATTCTCAGTCTCAATCAATTAGACCGACAAAATAAGTGCCAGCGGTGAGCACGCAATCATTTCTCAAAAATGTTGCAAAATTGTCTTGTAGTCTGCACTTTCGACAATGAAATTAAAACTGAATGAGGAAAGAGACACGTGTGCTGGGAAACGTACGAGTAAACAGCTTATCTTGTAAATCTTATCACGGTTATTCCTACCTGCAGAAAGGTGCTTGCTGTTTGTTTGTGTGGCATGGCTGGGAGATTCACTCTGAATAAGGAAAACAAATGCATTACTGTGTTTGTTCACGATCAATCCTCTTGGGGCTCACATGTTGTTTTTAAATTATTTGAGCCGAATTTTAGCAATTTGTGACCGTGTTTCGGTGTTTTTAATCATACGTATTGTTAACTGAGTGTCGTTTTTATGCAATTCGTACGGTCTCGTGTAACCCTGTTCGACCTTTTGAACATGGATACCTCTCTTGATACCTCTCTCGATACCTCCCTTGATAGGGATACCTCCCTTGATACCTCTTCAAGTAAGGACATTTCACAAAATTTTCAAAACATTATTGCAAATGAATCGAGTTTTTCCGCTACTTATTTCAGGGCTAGTGCTAGATTATGGCATGTGCCTAGCGGTCTGTTATTTTTTGTGCGACGCAAGGACAACAATAATTCTCACATTTGGTTGCAAAAAGGGCGATGATGAATATTTTTGTCACTTTATTTCATCATTTGCTTCGTAAACCCAAAAGTATCGAAAGTAATAGATTTTCCCGGGACGCAAAGCCTTTCCATGAAACAGTTTGTCCTTTTTTTTAATATTACAGCAAAGAATGCTTATTTTTTTACATGCTTTAAAATTTAATCGACCTATTTAAATAATTGATTTACTCCTGAGAATTCATTGAGTGTATTATACGGTGATTTTTGTTATAGCTGATAAATTATTTTGATTTCGTATATGATTTTTTTGGAAGTAATGCCAAAAAATATTCGTCATTAGACGAGTTAGAGCATACACGACGCATGAAAAACGGGGTTTTCCACGTATTTTTGTATGGTTTATGTTGCTCAATTTAAAAATGGCGTTAATTTTCATTGCTGTAAGTACTTAACTAGTTTCATCCAAATATTGATGCACCGAAATGCAATTGAAAACTTCATTAAAACTTTTAATTACCTTTATTGGCAGTATACAGCAACATTATTTCTGGGAGTTTTTTTTTTTTTTTTTTTTTTTTTTTTTTTTTTTTTTTTTTGGGCGTTGTGCAGTAGAGCATAGTAAAATATTCCAAGGGACGAGAAGTTACTCTGATGCCAAATGATATAAATGAGAAATACCCAGAAAAGGATCATCCGGTTACTATTAAAGAAAACCAATACAAACGGAAACCCTATATTCTATTTCCTTGTAATTTCATTCTCGGGTTTACACACATTTTTGGTCAGCTGATCACTAATTGTTTGCCGTAGGCGTATTGGGTCACGCGTGCGATACTTCACGGCATCATGATTGCCTTATTTTTGCGAGGGTGCGTTTGGTTTGTCTCCCCAGGCCCCGTTTTTTTTTTTTTAATTTTTTGCGGGGAGCACGTGAGGCGAGAACCCCCCCCNTCCTCATCCACTTCCGTCTTAGCCAGGAGCATTGCAAACTTTCTCTCAACTTGCTTACACAACTGAGGAAAAATATGATGAGAGATACATTGAATCGGAAGATCGAATCGACAAGTTTGACCTAGGATCCTCTCAGCATCATGCATAGACAACTTCCGTAAATTTCAATTCTCATATTCTTTGAGAGAATAACAAAGTGAGGTCTGTGTTTTGAATGAATTCGTGATTTTTTTTTTGAAATACTACCGTTTTCCTTCAATTTATCACCTTGCGATCGTTACATTTACTTTCAGCGCAAAAACCGTTAATGTAAATGCATTACACTATTAAGAGCTACTATTTACATCTCAATCGAAAAAGCATCAATCCACAGCGGGAAACCAAAGACCGCGTTAAAAATTATTACTACCATCAATTATTAAGAGGTCATATGGAACACCAATAATATAACATCATTGTTTTTTCGCAGTTAAACTTTGCAGAAAATTCTAACAGTCAGTTTTAAGTCAAAAATTTTAACCCTTCTCTTTGTGAGTGCAGTTTCTATAATATAGTTAGCATCGTGCTAAGCTTCTGCGTTTATTGTCATCACACTGAGGGAAATTATGATTAAAATTACCATGTTAGTGGTGTTCTCTATATGAACTCTTAATGAATAGTAGTTTTAAGAGAATCTTAGCATTTTAATGCAATTTTTAGTTTTTTGTCAATTTCTTCGTGTCTCTAATTTTACATTTTTTTACCAATTGTTCGACTTTGGCCGGTTGCCAGTCAGTGGTATTGCTTGTACCGGAAAAGCTGCCTCTTCTGAGGTTTAGAAGAAGAAATAGCAAAAATTAGTGGTTTTTTTATCGGTACGTTAATAATTTTACTACTTTGTTTGTAAAATTATAACGTAATAGTAAAAATACCACTATTATAAGATTTGACAACCGCTGATGAAAAGCTCATATCGATGGTGAAACTTGAAAAATGTGTAACACGGTTTGCGGCGTTGCAGACTTTCTGTTATACTTTATTTTCTACATGGAAAACCACAGGACGTCATTTTTTTTTAAAATTTCAGTGATTTTTCCTCTCTTTACAAAGAATACTCTGTGACAATTAATTTCTAGCCATGATATTAGTTTAGTCTCCTTTTGGAAATAAAATAGTAGCAGAGATTTCGAATAACTGCAACCGTGAAACGCATTTTTGCAGTTTCACTATCGATATTGGAACTCGCTAACAGGGTAATTTTAATAATAGAATTTTACATTGCGTAGTTTTTGTCGAAAATATGTGCTGCTTTAAAGTTCGGCTCGCAGATAAAATATCAAACAAAATGATGGATTAGTCATTAAATTCGAGACATTATCCCAGACTCTTCGTCTAGGATACCCATTGTTTAAAATCACGCAATTTGTGCATCCCTACATAGGGCCTCAACGACAACAGCTCCGTCGCACAGTGGATCGGGTCAATCAGAGAGGTCGGAAATAAAATCTCTGACTAAAACTGCAAATTTCGATGTTTATCTCGTCACATTTTGAATTTTAAGGGGTGCCTCTAAATGAAAATTTCACGAGAAAATATATGTTACCACTTTTAAAACCTCAAAGTTTTTAATTCACGGAGCCATGAGCATTTAAAGTTTCCAAATTTTGTCCGACATCTCCTATCGACTCAGTCCACTGTGCGTCAGGATAGCTCGAAATACTCCGAAATGTCCCATTCATCGACGAGGACGTAAATTTCGGGCGTGGATTCCCTCGCCGGAAATCAGCAATCAGCAATCAGCTGATCATGCAAGGAAACCCTTTTACTCAGCGACTGTCGGACTGTTTTGACACCTCATTTCGCCAGCGACTCAGGCTTTCCAGAATGAAAACACTCATCGACAGTCGATGAATGGAGATCTCTTGCGTCTGCAGTTGAAAACGGGTCATCTCGAGATGTCAGGCTATTGTTTTTGTCGTGTTTTTGAGGTGGGTCAAAAATAAGGGTTGCTTCTTGTTTTTTTCGGGGCGGATTTTGGCGACAGATTCTCACGGTGCTCGGTCTCATGTGGCCGGTCGATCCAGCCTGCTGATCGCGTCTAAAAGTGGTGCGAATGTTGTTTCTGCTCAAAATGAAAAGAATGGAGCCAACCCATGCGTTGAGTCTTTTCTGGAATATGTAGAATTGGATCGTTTATCAGGGCAAAATATTGGATTTTTCGTCTACTTAAACATGAAAAAAAAGAATTGTTGCATGCCCATGCCCATACAATGCTCATGATGGATTCTAGGTCCTCACAACTTTTCTAGTCACATTTATAATTTTACTTTTGGCACAAAATTCATTTCTGTTTGGTATCAATGCTGCATAGGTACGGAGACAGATAAACTGTTTAAAAAGTAGATACAGCCTCAGACCATTATGGGCACTTTGAGGGTAACGACCTCTTTTTATCCATGTTTTTGAGCTCACTCAGATAATTAAAGTTCAACTTTATTTGTAAGGGCCACGTGAACATTCAGTTACCTACCAGAAAAAGGGTTAACCAAAAGATCAGTAGATCACGTGTTGTAAAAAATATTAGCATTTTTCCGTATAACTTGGATTCGTTTTATCACTTTTTGTGATTAAATGAGGTTGGAATAACAAAAACGTCTGTAAATTCAGAATTGAAAAGCTCTTTTCCTTCTTTGTTGAATGACGCACCACGAATCACTACAAAGTCAGGATACAACTATTACTACTCTCAGGAGCGCATTTTGCCTACTTCTTCAATTGAAGGCGAACATGTAATGATGGATTTACGTTCATTCAAGGATCATGCAACGAGTGTTTCTAAAGATCACTTTGGTAACATTTTGGTCCTTATTTTTACTAAAACGAAATGATCTTTAAACTACAATAAAATTGTTGATTTTGCGTGTTGATAGTTTTGCAGCTATATGCACAATTGCACCAATACATAAAAAAACATAAAGCATCAACCGGAATCGAATGTAATTGATAAATTCCCGGAATTCAATGGTATTACCAGGATATTTTACTTTGACCATTGTATGTTGGAATTTTTTAGCCAGCGTGCGCTAAAAATTCAGCATAAAGTTGTAGTCTCAATACAGAGGGAAATAGCTCACACATAAAATAATGGAGGAATTTTTCTTTGAGCGAAAATTGTGCTTGTGTGTGAGGTTTCCCCCTCTGTATTGCATTGAGATATCAGCTTTATGCTAAATTTTTAACGCACGTTGGCAAAAAAATTCCAACATACTGTCTCACGAATCGCGCGTCCACCGCAATTAGTTTGTGTTTGACCATTGTGATTGGATTTGTTCTGTAGGTATGGATATAATCTGATCATGAATTATCATTTTTCATTCATAAGTAACGTCAAATTTTGCGTGTTTCCTTCGATTCCGATGAAAAAGGTAATAAAAAGGTTCCAACTGTGAGTACAATTTTTTTTTAAATTCTTGTTTCAGATTCTCTTCAGCAGGATTACACGGTAGATTCCGTCCGACCCTCCAAGAGGACAAGGACAGCTTACACGAGCGCTCAATTAGTCGAATTAGAGAAGGAGTTCCACTTCAATCGGTACCTTTGCAGACCCAGAAGGATAGAGCTTGCTCAACTTCTCAGTCTCTCTGAACGCCAAATCAAGATCTGGTTCCAAAATAGGCGAATGAAGTACAAGAAGGACCAAAAACCTAAAGCAACTGGTGAGTGTCTGACTATTTCATCAGCTCTAATCCTCTTTGGCATATAGCGTTACGCATTTGTAACGACGTATTTCCGAGGATTTTTAAAAAATGAATCTTTTCCCTGTGCCATGGTTTTGCAAAATTTCTTTAGCTTTTTTCTTATTTTGAAAAATTGATTCCCTTAACTTTAAAAATTTGAAAAAATGAACATTTGGTACTTTATTTTTTCTTTATGCAAGCTACAAAATAGATAACTGTCCCCTAGAATCTGAGATACCAAATTATTTCATGCCATAGCGGGTTAAAAGGCACAATTATTTATGTTTTGAGTCAGAACTTTTGTATATTGTTTTCAAACCCTCCATGGCATGTTGTTCCTCACTCAGAACAAATGATTGCCAAATATTTAAAATGTTCAGAAAAAAATTTGGGATTCCATATTTTTACGTGCGCTGCAACATACGTTTGTCTCCTAGAATCTAAGATCGAAACTTATTTCACGCCACATAGAGCCAATAATAATCAGAAACACAAAAAAATTCAGGTGAAGCTGGGCGGAAAAATTTGTCCCTGAAATAAATTTTGGAGTTTATGTAGTAACACTAAAAAAATGGTCCAATTTATCTGGGCGAGGTACACTCTCAAGCTGGAAAAATTATCGTCATACTAAGAATTAAAATGAAAAATATGGTGATATGAACCGATTGCAAGAACTAATATTTCTAAGTTTCTTTTTCTAATTTTAAACAGAATCTGTTAACGGTTCTACATTTTCAGATTTCCTGCGATTCTAATTTTACCTACCGAAAATATTCCATTGAACCTCTGAATAGATCTATTCATCTATTCGTCACTTCCTTCATGTAACTTTATTTCAAGGTTGCAAAATTGACTCGAATAATCCAATATACTCAAAGAATATGCCTGCGTGATTTTTGACAAAAAGTTTCTTTTTTTTACTTAAGAACCTGAGGTAAAATCAGTGAAATTTTTAGCTGGAAATTCCCAAAATTCTCCTGGTACAAAAGCAATTTGCGCGAGGAAATTTGGAAATACTGAAATGAGTTACGTTCTTTCGGGACGAAAACGATTAAATGAACGTTCTATTTTGAAATGATTACTAATTTTCGAATGTAAATTGTACATCCTTGGTGGAAACTTGCAAATGGAGAATTTGCAAGCAAATTCTTTAATTACTTTATCTAAAAGTGCTTGAATAGCTGATTCCACAGTATTTTTTATAATTTTTTTCTGTTATGGGGAACAGTACAAAAATTACTTTAAAGTGAGAAAATGCATCGCCCAGTGACGTCATCTGGCGGCATCTCCCATTTAAACCCACGTACTTTAGCAGATTAGATCATTTTGTCATATCTTCTCCAATAACTCTTCAATTCATAAACCAAGGGTATCCTAGCAGGGTGACATAAAACGTAAGAAAGAAATGAAAGATTGGAAATTTCAGTGAAATATTTCATGAAATTTCACAGGGCTGTTAAATTTCATATTTTTCAGGGGCTAGAGTAGGTATGCAGTTCGCACTCAAACACACACAATTAAAAGAAAGTCACTATTTTCACATTTTGTGAAGCATTTTTCTTTTTATTATTATTATTAAAATATACTACTGCCCCTTACGGGGCAGTAATTACATAGGTGTTAACTTAAGCTTGAAGCTAATCTTAAAACTAATATTATGAGATTTTGTTTTTTAACTGCGAAGCATGAAAAGGAACCTGTATTGTTCCAGATTTTTCATAAAGTTCTGAAATCTAATGAAATATTTCGCGTGAAATTTCAAGATTCTATTTTTCATGAAATTTTCGTTCACTCAGCCGTTTCCATTTAAACACGAAATTCATCAAATTTCAGACACCTGCAAATTCTCCAAATTCAAAGCTCAGCGCTCATATATTTTTCGCCCATAGTATTATAACACATATTGCGTTCATATTTTTCAGGTCACCAGGATGTTTCATCCTCCTCAACACCTACAAGCTCGAACTCCTTCAACAAATCATTCAACTCAGACGCCCCCAGCTCCCCGATATCCTCCAGCTCAAGCAAGACCGGCTCACCCCCGGCCAGCTCCCCAGTCAACCGCCCAACAACGACGATCCACCATCAACCAGTCCACCATCAACCGGTCCACCATCAGCCGGTCCACCACCAACCCCTACCCCATCTCCCACCGATGCCCACCACCCACCAACCATCGGACTTCGCCGGGACTTTCAACTTGGACCCGATCCCGAGGCCGCAGCTCGACGTCACCTACGACTACCTCAACAGTCTCCCCTCCACCACGGACTCCCATTTCGATTACTCGACGAGGATGTCCAAGCCCGTCTACACCCAGATCGGCCACCCCGTTGAGCAGCTCCCCGAAGCGGACACACTGGCCAAACCGCTGCTGTCCATCGGTCACTCCTACGATCTCCTGGAGTCACCTTACGTCGGGCACCACTTCAACAACCCTGTTTTTTACGACCCCAATCCGCTGCCGACGAACTACTACAACAATTTGACCTGGGGCTCTTGGTGCTTCCCGCCGCAGACGGTGAATCAGTACGATGCGACCAGACCTGTCATCACCCCGCCGAGGAACACGTTTGACGGTGAGCATTGATGCGATACGTTTTGCATTAGCCTGCACTGAAAAAAATTGTACGCTGTTTTAGCACCTAGGATGTCAAAAATGCGTCTGGTGATTCTAGGATGCTGTCTTGATTGCCTGCGCTGTTGAATTTGCATTCACAGGATGTTAAGTTAACTGCGGAGGCAGTAAAGGCAACATCTTTGGATCACTAGACATATTTTTGACACTCTAGATGCTAAAACAGCATGTTATTTTTTTCAGTGAGTGTCACACTATCAAGGTCTGGTGTTGTGATTGGCTTAGTCGATGACTTGGACCAATCACAGCAATTTGCCTTGACATTTCGATGGAATATTTTGATAGTGTGACACAGGTTAATGGCAGATCCAGCAAATGGGTCAGTTGCGCTGGTCACAGAATCGTGTTTTGATGATTTATTCCTCTAGATCGACTAAAAATAATAAGATCTGCCCAAACAGTAACTTTTTTCGTTCAATATTAACCGAGATATCTCGGCTTGAAAAACTCAATTTATGACGTCATCCACCGCGGTAGTACATACCATGTTATGCACTACCGCGGCGGATGACGTCAAAAGCCCGACTTTTCAAAGGATGATATTTCGGTTACTATTCAACGTAGAAAGTTGCTATTTGGACATGTCTTTTTGTTTTTAGCTAATCTACAAGAATCAATCATCAAAATATGATTCTGTTATCAGCGCAACTGGCCCATTTGGCTACATCGGTTTTCCTCCATTTAAACCCATGGAAATGTATCGATTCTTGAAGGGGCCTGGTGCTCCGACAAGAAACTATAATTTAACGTGGGTTTAAATGGAGGCAATTCGGTGTTGTCAAATTGCTGGATCCGCCTCTGACGTTTGGAGGTCTCTATTTATTTCCAGTTTGAACGTCTGTAAAGACGAATGACTTGTGCTGTATATGATGCATAAAAATCTGTCGACTTATCAAAGTTTAAAAATAATGTCAGTTGATTTTGAAATAACAATGCAGTTGCTGACATCACTGTGAGCAAACACGGAGACAAATTAATTGTTATTCAAACATATTGGTGATAGAGGTATGTAATTATAATATATTAAATCAGAAAATACCTAACGGGAATGTAGCCATGATACTTTTATAAGGTATCATGACTATTTTCTGATTTAATATATTGGATTAATCGTTGTCCTCACGCCAAAAAATGTAACTGTTGATTTAACAATTTTGTAGTGAAAAAAATGTCCTACATGTTTCAATACAGATTTCACAAAAGTGGAAAGCTAATTTTACCATACGGAAGGTTAAATTAGCTTTCCACTATTGTAAAATGTCCACTTGAAACACGTCGGGGATATTTTTTAACAATTTAATTGTTAAATCAGCAATCCATTTTTTTCCGTGCTCACATACTCTAAGCGAGTTTTAGGTCTTGCCTACTTTTATAGTAGTAGTTACAACATTGCTCTTGAGGTAACATTGTTTTCTTCTCCAGTAACAATGCCGTAACGATCAGCGTTGTGATTGGAACCGAGATGATTGTTACCGAAAAAGTAGCATTGAAAATACGACTAGAAAAATAGGTTATGACCTGGAACCCACCGTGAGTACTGTGAGAGAAACAACATTTTTACCTCCCTGGAGGAAGTGATTAATCTCTATACAATGGTTTATTCGCTTCATGATAATTATAGTTCTCGATTATTTCAATTTGTATACGGTAGATTGTAGTGATTTTTTGTAAAGTTTACCAGCGAAGGTTAAAATTTGACTTTCATTAAATGGACCGCGTGCAGCAAAAAGGAACCAAGCCACATTAGCTATTTCCAAAAACTGGGCACTTTAATTTCTTACAAGAGAACATTTGTGTGAACTCCTATGAAAATGTTTAGTAATTTGCTTTGTGCTATGCAGAAAATTCACAGAAATTTGCAAAAAAATCTGCTCAGCCGTTCTTATGTAAAAGATTAAATTGCCCAATTAAATTTGGCAATGGCTGATATGGCTTGGTTCCTTTCAGCTTAACGCGGTCTAAATATGATTTACTACCATTTTTAAAATATAATAATATTCAACATTTAAAAAGATATCTATAAATTTATCATAGTTTGACGGGAAAATGTCCAGAACACACTCTCGTCTTTAAAGATCTACTGCCTTCCTCATAAAATAGTGTACCTAAAAGAGGCCAACTTTATATTTATTATTATTGTGATATTTTAGAGATTAAGAATAGTAATTTTTTAAGGTATCGTTAAATTATTCAGCTGTAAAATTTAAGTTGTTAAATTCAAGCGATTTCAACAGCTATACAATTTCCCATAATGTTCAGGAAATGATATCTCTGATTTGGACGCGCGATGTGCCATGGTATCGTTCCAGATTGAAGGCGTTTTATAAAGCTGTGAAGCTGTAAACGCGAGATCTTACAATTAGTGATTTATATCTCTTTTCATTGGGTATTTTTTTGGTTTATGAATTGTTTGGTGCCAGATCAAAGAATTTTTACTATTTATTTTATGTTAAATTTTATGTGTGTTTTATTTTCAGTTTGAAAATTTGAATATTTTATCACCCTCTTTTAGTTTATTATTATCTTCATGAATCATCTTTTCATGTCCCTATTAAGTTTAGACGCATCAAGCTCCTGCGGAAATTGTAGCGAAGTTAAAAATGAACATGGTAAAACGATTGAAAAAATAATCGAGCTCCTAGCCAAGAATAAACTAAACAAATAATATTTCAAACTACATAGAGATCAGAAATAATAAAAAAAAAACTTACAGGAAACAAAACAAACGTTTCGATCACCAACACACTGCGGTCTTCTTTAGTGCAACAAGTGGAAGCATTTTACAAAAACAAATTAAAAAAAGAAATTACATATTAATGAAAAAACTACAAAACTATTAGCAAACTAGTAAAGCAAAAGTAGAAATCTATTGGAACTACATATTGGAGTAAAATCAAAATAAGGCAAAATTCACGAGGAAAGAAGAGTGATATAGCAGTGATAAGAATGAAGTAGGTAAATAATAAAACCAAAGACAAGCAAAAAAAAACAGAGGGGAACTACAGCATAGACAGAAAAGGTTTCACTAAATTCTACGAGAGGTCGCAATAACACAGAAAGAAAGCAGTACAGAGGAGGCCAACCCGCACACAAATATATGCAAACAGCAATGCGTGGTCTACAAAAACTGTTCATACAAACACATTTTTTTCAATCATTTTACCATGTTCTATGGAGCCTAGCCAGCCTTTGGCATTAAAATGTTAAACATGAATCTCACCGTTTTATTTTCACACCTTTTACGTAATTTAAACATGTGTACACTTTTCCTGTATCATAAGCCAAATTTGGCATTAAAATGTTAAAAATGAAATCTCACCGTTTTATTTTCACTCCATTTCCGTAATTCAAACATGTGTACACTTTTCTTGTATCATATTTAAGTAAGCATTGTACGCCTTTTTACTATAGCCTGTACTTACCTAGTGAAAAATTCATTGACCATACCGTATTTCACTCTTGTTGAATTTTGTGGAATTTTTTCTCTTTACTCTGATTCATTCTCTTTGCATATGTTCGCCCTACGATAGTGCTTTTTTCTTCTCATATCTTTCGCCGTCCTTCACATACGAATTCCAACCAAGCCTGAATAAAAAGACTGATCGACTCGTTTTACCTGATAGTTTTATGTAGTTTGTTATGTGTTATTTGCTGGTGGTTATTTCTTATTGACGCTTTCTGAAGTCTAGGCATTTTCCAACATCTAAGCATACTTTTTGTAAATAGTTTAATTATAAATAATAAGAAGTTGACGATTTTAAAAATACATCTAGAAGTATTTTAAGCAAAATTAATTCCACCGCTGTGATGCTGAACCCTTAAATATAAGTTTAACTATATGCAAATTCAATTACCTATAAAATGCTCGGTACCCCACAACTGTACCCGTTGAAGGTCTAATTTAATTCTAAAGAACTTTGGATATTCTGAAATTTATGAAGGAGAGGTGTTTTGGAGTTCAAATCGCTCTCAAAAGCATTTGTAACTAAGAGTCTTATAAGAGTCACTGTAATTTATGTAAATTTTTGTCCATATTTATCTCCGTCTCTCAATAGTTTAATTTTGTTATTGTTTTTGATTTATTGTTGAAATTTTTGTCTAAATTTTACATTTGTACGCCAGTTAATTTAATAAGTATTTGAACTTGCATATAACTTTAGTATATAATTGAAAGTATAACAACAAAATTTGGGATTGATTTACGCTGCAAGAAGAATTTTGTTCTTCACTTGTGTTACTATAAGATAAATATTTAAAGTTGATTTGCGGTACGCAGAAAAATTTCAAAAATAAATTCCAGAAATGTTGAAATTCATGACACATAAAAAAAATCGGTTCGAAATTAATAAATAAAAACTGGTGAAATCTTAATTCGTGTTGTTTTCTCGTATTTATTCATCCAATTATGACTCAGAACTGATAAATTTTGCTCCTTTGTAGAAATTGAAAGTATTCAATAATTTAACGGATATTCCAACAGACTATTTATTTTCTATGTATTGCTTGATTTGATCCTCAATTCTACTTATTCTCATCACTTCGTATCATTTTTCTAGACTCCATGCCAAATAAGTTTACGCAATTTTAGACTGCGACAGAAGATCCGTCATCTTGAATCTTCTGTCGGGAAGTGTGTAAACTTTTTTGGCGCACACTACGTGTTTCTCAGCTTTGATTGAAGCTTGAACATCCATTGAGGAGCTTCCATGAATTTAAAATATTAAGAACTGAAACGACCTAAAGAACCCTTTCTTTTAATTTTATGAATTAAAAAAAGTTGAACTCTGAGTTCTGATTTTCATAAGTAAGTGAGTTCTTTCAAATAAATGGCCTTTAAAAATAACTGAATTTTACGCATGACCGTATGGATTTCTGAAAAAGCATGTTTTAACAAGAATTTAGTAGTGATTTGGTTCTGTAAAAAAAACAGGAAAATCGTTGACATACTAATTTTTAACTATATTTTCAATTACTTCAATCGGTTGCTTTTCTTAGATTTGCTTAATCTTTTCCGTTATACGACCTCATATTAATCGGTTGTTTTCAAAAGGAAACAGGTCAATTTCTGGATTAGTCTTAGTTAGCATGTCCTTTCAGGCATCTCAAGGCTTATGGAAAAATGGACTTGTTCCCTTTTTAAAAAAACAACCGATTCGTCCGAAAAAAACCTCGGAGAAAGGCAGCAAGGTGCAGATGACGTTAGAAAATATGAATGCTAAAAAGTTTCCCGGTGCCATCTGTATTCCAAGTGTGCCTCCGTTAACCGCACCGTCACCTGTTTAAATGTTTTTTTATTCGTTTTTTCTGAAACCTTTTGGGTTCAACGTGGCCAGAAAAGTATAAGTAGGGTGTGCCTGTACCCGTCCGATGTTGTATGGCATCAAAACAAAAG